GTAAGCTCTATTTGGAAACTATACATAGATCTAGAAACTTGTTATTTCATTGACAAATTCCAATCCTATCAAAAATTAAGACAATATAGGTGTAACAGCGGTTTGTCAAACAATGCTTAAATGTTCATTCAAATTATTGTATACCGAGTTCAATTTATCGTCACATTTATTTATTTTTCTATAGCAAATCACATTTCCCAATAAAGGTCATAAAATTAATCTCAACCAATGTTGTATATAATAATTCGTAACAAATAGATGATTTTGCTCAATAAAAAATATAAATTATATGTTATGTTTCATTGTTGTTTTTATTCTATGCAAGGGTACTGGATGATGTCCATACATTGTTCCTACTGACGCCAGTACTCAACTAGTTTGTGCCATGAAGAATTGGTATTCTTCGCTTGATATGTTGTGCATAACAGCATATCGTTCTCTTCTATGAGGTGACACATTTACTCTTTTTCTTTCACTGTCACAAGTGTGGAGTTACTCTTTGTGTGCACGTTTTGTTTTTTGTACCTTCGCGATTGGTGCAGCACTTTTCTGATTGCCCACCCGCCCACGTGACGCACCTTCGATTTTCCCACTTGACTCATACTGTCTACGTCAAAGTTAACTGTCTCTTGTCTAGATAAGGGGTCCAAATAGGGGATCCAGCGATTGTTGCTTCACAAGGAATTGTGCTTAGGAATGGTTGGCAATTGATTCATAAAACGCTTACCTTATGCTTTTCAAAGATTTCCCTCAGTTCTATAATAGTTTTTTTCCAAGAAGCGAACTATCTGTAGATCGAAGTAAAGTTTTGAAGTGATTTTAGTGTTTATCTAGGTTTTGGTAGACTTTGGCTTATATTACCCATTAACAATAGAAATTGACCGTCAGTAAATTTCAACTGTAAACCTAGCTTTACATGATACTTACTTCATCATCCATATTGCATGCCAACAGAACAACTTTCAAAACCAAGAGTGGCAGTGAAAACTGACGACTACTGAAAGAAACCAAGAACGTGAAAGGAACCAAGCTAGAAGACTATCTTACAGCTGTACTAGCTCGTGAAAACCTAGAACTAGTCCATGTGCAGATCCACGTGAAAGGATACGAGTGGTCACGTGTCTAATCGGAAATCAGAAATCGGAAATCAGAAGTCGGAAATCCGAAATCGGAAGGCCCTTCTCGGCCATCGTATATGGTTGTGCAGCTTTACCTTTAACTACTCCATCAAAGTGTGGTCCAACCTTGGAGAGGTAGATTGTGTGTTCGGACACTGCATTAGTATTGGGGAGGAGAAGGGTTCTTACAACTCCACCATGCACGTAGTACACTATAACCGAAGTTTTGGTTATATTTGCTAACACGTGCAGCATTAAATCAATAATACTAGCGTTAAAGCGTCTCGAGTAGAAGTAGTCATCAAGCTCTTCCAACAAGTCAATGTCTCCAACGAAGGGGGCGTAGAAACTAAGATTTTCCTAGATTTCAATTTGGATAAAGGGAAACAGTGAATGGACATTGTTTGGTGCATTCGCATTGGCGTCCACCAATCCATCCAAAAAGGCACGTAGGATGCAGTGTCYGTCTCCGGGGTTCCTTTTTCTTTCCCAAGCTTTTGATGAAGGTTTCTACTTTCTTTATATCTTCCATCTGGGCAACTTGGGTCAGCTTGGATTTGCCAAAACCACATGATAAACGTTCTTTTTTCGAAATGCGGAGATTACCCAATGAATGCTTGTGAATATGTTAGTAAGTGTCAAAAGAAACTTGCATAAATAAATGCTGAATCAATTTGTTAATTAGAAAAAAGACATGTTGTAATACCACTGTTGAGTAACATATTGGTTGGTTTTTGTTTAGCTCTGGGAATCTCTACAAAACACGATTCAAGACCTTCGGAAATTAAGTCTAAGATTGCTCTTCTAATGGATTTGATTTTAACTTTTATATGCAGTCCAACACCTCCGGCGTTTGTTTCTGAATACTTACTGATACATTGATACCTAGGAATAGAAATATAAATACTATCACAAGATAATTTAGTTTCAAATATTGCAATTTTACTAGGCATTTCCTTGGCAGAGATTGTTGAGAACAACATGCCACCTGCAGCCACATACATTAAATCAGGATTGTAGAGGTGATTAGCAACTATAATGACTGGCTGCCGCAAACCCTTGATGGCCTCAGCCAGTGACTGATGGTCCTGTGAAAATAACAATTTGCAACTTTTTAAAAATCATTTCCTTATCATTGTGTAGGTTGGGAGGGGGCAATATAGTTAATTCACCTCATAACACTCGAGGCTAATATTTTATTGCACTTACTGGAATTACCTTGTTCACAGCCTTTTTCATGAATTAGTTTTTTTAAAGTCATAATTTCGAGCGGAGCCCCATACTTAAGAAAAAATGGTAAACCATCAAGTTGATTTTTCATGGCTTGGCTGACGTCACTTCCGTCCGTCCGTCCGTCCGTGTACGCAAGAATCCTGATTGCTCCTGCTAGGAGCTCTCATGCTTTGCCCGGAAGGTGCTTAGGATAGTTACGCATCTGTGAGGGGAAATAGCCATGGTAATTCCATGCCTACCACCCGGAAGGTGCTTTGATTAGTTATAGCATCTGCGAGGGAAAAGCATGCTAGGAGCTCTCATGCTTTCTCGGAAGGTGCTTAGGATAGTTACGCATCTGTGAGGGGAAATAGCCATGATAATTCCATGCCTACCACCCGGAAGGTGGTATACCACCCGAATATAATCACAAATGTTATGGGATGTATATATCCTCCATTATATTTTTTCGAGTTGTTTATCATTAGGGCTTTCTGAAAAAAATATCAAGAAAGATATCCCGCCCTGTCTGATATACTTTCGATATACTTGTATTTATATTTGAAACGGCCATAAT